ATAAAATTTCAGTTTATAATTTTATAATATATAGTAATTATTAAAATTTCCTTAATATTATCCCAAAAAAACTTTTCTAATTTTTTAATGATTGTATTTCCGTTTGTAATTTCTCACTTTGAACAGGAGTTAATATGTTAAATATAGGTCAAGGTCAGCCCATATCTTGACGAATTTGAAAATGTTTCATCTTAATTTCACTCCATTAATCATTTACTCTATCCCCCTCCCATTTACTCTATTCCCCTTCATTTTTCTCTCTTTATCTTTCCATTTTCCTCCCATTTTCAATACATTTTCCCTTAGTGGTTAATTTCCCTCCTATTTCTTCCTATTTACAAAAACATTATGTTTTAATTTTTTTTATATATTTTTTTATCTAGTTCCTTGGTGCTGACAAGCCCGTTCTAGGTGAAATGGCCATAAATCATATGGGGTATTGAATTTTATCAACATGTAATTCATATATGCTCTGTAATAAATATATTGAACTCTCTTCTGTGGATCAGTTTTATATATATATATATATATATATATATATATATATATATATATATATATATATATATATATATATATACGCTCTGCCCTTGATATTGAGAACTTTAACCCATAAATATAGCACACCTTAAAATTTTATTAACTATATTTCTAACGATGTCATTAATTTTTAAGATTTATTTAAGATGCGGTAAAATAAGTTAATGATGTTTTTTTTTATTGTTTTCAGTATGGTTGTTTTTATTAACTCGTTGACGTCATGGCTGAGGAAATTATTGTTGATTATGTTTACTTTATGCTGCTAAAGTCTTTATGAAATAACGTGTGTGATGAAGAATTTTTTTTTATCGCTTAATCATGTTTTCTTACAACAGCTGTTTCATATCTGTGAGGACATTCTCCTTTGTAATTAAGACACAACTTTTTGCTTGTGGGTGTATTATACAATAAATTAGTCAAATTTGACGTCTATTCGAACGTTAAGAAAAAGGATTTGTTTTTTTCTAGATGGGGTTACCGGGAGTGGAAGAAAACTTAAGAGAATTTAATGAGGAGAAGGGTAGTAAAAGAAGACAGAAAATGGCGATTGTCATTGCATTTGAATCTTTGAAGATCGTAGGTGGCAGCGAATCAAGAAATCGGAAGAGAGCACCACAGGCTAGAGTTGCGAGAAAAAGAACTATTAAAATAGAACTAACGGTTACCTCTTGCTATTTCTACGGTAAAAAAGAAGAGACCTAATTGCCAATCTAGTAGTACGCTTCATTCATTTGATGTAAACCGGTTGATGTTGCCACATCAGGATAAAATAATCTTAAGGAAAGGGATCATTATTTATTAATAAAATAGAATACGAAAGTATCACAGCGCTTAAAATTTAAGGTACGTTTGGACCAACACTTCTTTAGAAATATATAATCGTCGGAAAAATAAAACAAAGTAGTTGACAAAAAATAATTATTATCAACAACTGATGTTAAGAAAAGGTAAATTACCAAAACTTGGGGAGGGAAAGGAAAAAAAATCTTCCTAGTAGAAACTAGGAAGAAAATATTTTAAAAAAAAAGTTTATTAACCATTTCCTTATAAGGAAACTACTGTAACCAGGAACCAAGGAAACGGAAGCACTGTTTCAGCCATTGTTCAGACACGGAAGTACCGTGTCGGCCATATTGTTAATGTGAATAAAAAGCAGGTGAATCACTTTTACCGGTAGTGAAGTAACCAGAATAAACTGTGTTGTTATTATTACGAACCCACTAACCAATGGTAACAGAAATATTTGGCATTCATTGACCGAGAAGAATGTACGAGCGGCGGTTGAAATTTATAAGATCTTTTTAAAACAATTTTTCAGAAAAATAGGTTTCTCAGGTGTAATTGCTGTTATCGCTCTTTCCAGTATTGTCGGGAGTTACCTTCTAACCTTTTATTTGAAGTAGAATAGAATGTTACCATCGTGATTATGTCATTAGTTTTTATTCGAGTTACAGGTGCTATCCATTTTAGCTGTTGCTGCTATTGGAAGTCCTCAAGTGATGTGGTTTCTTTTATTTCAAAGTGTTCTTTGTCTGTGATTTTGTAGCGCCAAGGTTCGAAGAAGTATAGTCTTCACAAAGGTCTCCACTCGCTCAAGGCCATTTTAAACTATTCATCCGAGAAAGCGTTCGTATCTAGTTGGCAGTTTAGATATTTTTGAACGGTTTTGGCGCCATGCATGAGATTCGCCTGAAAGTCTTGTTCTGATGAGACCCTATAAGATCCTGGCTCGAGTTTTCTGGTTAGTGTTTTGTTGTTGTGCCAGTGAATGTAATGGAGGCGCCCTTGCCTTGTTAGATGTTAAAAGGGTCTAGGTATAAAAAAAATAAAAAATAAACGATAATACATGCATTGTTTATTTTGACCTCCATAACAATCCTACGTAAACTTCTATGGTGTACAACACAAATTGTCATTTCGTCTGCAGCCGCTCTCTTACAGACGTACCGTCGCCTCCCTCTGTCTTTTTTTTTACAAATACTTTCACGGTAACTGCTCCGATGAGCTGCTTTCGCTGGTTCCCAGACTTCATGAATTTAAGCGTTCTACTTGGCTGGCATCTCGTTCCCACTCTTTCACTGTCGAAACTATTAAATGTAGCCGCCTTTCTACTCCAATAGCTTCATGTCTCGCACTTCTCGCCTGTGGAACTCCCTTCCCTTTTCCTGTTTCCCTGATAGCTATAACCTCCAACTATTCAAATGTAATGTCAATCGACGTCTCCAGATGCCTTGATCTATCCCCTATCCTTCTCTTCATCCTTTCCTCTATCACTCCTATTTGTTCTCTCTCCAACTCTCTGTAACCCCTCGCGTGCTTGTGGCTTCTCGCCTTGCTTGGGGTGAAATGCTTAAAAAAAAAACAAACACTGACAGCGTAGATATACGTTACCTTCATAATATAATGCAAATGACGCAGCTACTCGTGTCCGAGGATGCCAGTCTACTAGGGCGGCTAACTAATCCCCATTGCAGACGCCTGCTCAAGCACATTTGTTTTTGTTCAACACCTATATATAAAATTTAGGAGCGAGACCCTCACTTCCTCACTTCGTTAACTTTACGTATACTTGATGAGTTCCGTAAAAAAACCTGTGAATTGTCTTTTCATTCTTCATTTCATTCTTCATTTCAGCTTTTGGAAGTAAAGTCTGATGATCCAGAACCCTGTTAAAGGGGTTATGGTGAAATAACTTATTACATGGAATCTTAACGTGGTCTGTCTTTTTATTCAAATATATATATATATATATATATATATATATATATATATATATATATATATATATATATATAGAGTTAAACCTAGAGCTAAACAATCCTACCAAGGTTTCACCTTAGCGGATCGTCAAGGAAGGCCTTCCCTGATGATCCGTTTAGGTGAAACCTTGGTAGGTTTGTTTGTCTCTCTAGGTTTAACTAGGTCTGCTCTACTCATTGTATTGAGCACTTTATTTAGTTATTTTGGCGACTCGCATCGGGATTTTTTTTCTTTGGGCCTTGGACTCGTATGCTAGACGATTATTTTCGGCTAACGTACATGTTCTTGGTTCTTTCTTTTTTTTTATACCATTTTTCCCTTTGGTATTTGCTTGTTTATTTGCAAATCAAAACACCGAAGGTTTTCCGAACGAGTATAGTTTCTTACACTTATAAGATTTTTATTAATAATATATATATATATATATATATATATATATGTGTGTGTGTGTGTGTGTGTGTGTGTGTGTGTGTGTGTGTGTGTGTGTGTGTGTGTGTGTGTATCTTTTTATGCCTAAACGCAATCGTCATGCCATGATGGTTGCGTTTAAGCCTGAAACAGACTGTTGCCGCTGGGTGTTGACTTCGATATCCACGTTTTTATTGTGTCTACGTTTTATTGACCACTCTAACCCATAAATATAGCATAGCTTAATATATATTATCACACATACACACACACACACACACACACACACACACACACACACATATATATATATATATATATATATATATATATATATAATTGCATAAAAAAGAAAAATCGAAAAAAAATATCAGCAGTAAATTACTGATACCCCTGAAGAGGGGACGCACAGTTCCGTCTACGAGACTCTGGAGTTGGGATGCTGAAGGTAACATCAATCAGCTAAGGGACAAATTTTGACTTATATTAATTCTTTTAATGTTCTATCTTTGATATCGGGCACTTTATTCAAAAACTGCTTGCCTTAAATGTTTTTCTCTCAATATTCCACTGACTGTCAGCGTTTTACGCATCGTTTATATATATATATATATATATATATATATATATATATATATAATAAGAAAAGTGATAGAAACATCAACAAAAAGAAAAAGAATCTCAATGAAATCGGCTTTATTATATAGCTAAAACATATATTAAAAGAAAAATATAATCTTTAAATTTAAAATTCTCAGGGTATTCCTTTCTATTGTCCGCATGTCTAGTCGCATCAGTTGAAACACTATCCTGATGATGTCCTAAGAGACGAAACGCTTCACACAAAACTTTTTCAACTTTGTCATACATCTTTCCCCTAAAATTGTTCTTGAAATATAAAATAGTATATATAAAGTTAACCTATATATGTTTATATATATATATATATGTGTGTGTGTGTGTGTACGTGTGTGTGTATGTACGTGCGTTTGAGTGTGTTTTTGTGCTTGTGCATGTGTGGGGGGGTTATTGTCTAAACAGTCACGTGTAATATGCGTAATATGTTTAGGAATTTTCGTCGACTACAGTTTCCGTAATTAACATACTTGTGTCTAAACGGATGCAAATATATTTAAGAGCACTGACACCCACGTGCTCACGTATACTTAGTTAAACACACATACTTACGCACACAGATACCCACACGCACATACTTACGCACACATGCTCATACACACAGACATACTCACATATCTATGCAACCAAACGCACGTTTAAATACAGAAACAGGCTTACGGCCATATCACGTTGAAGCACCGGTTCCCGTACGATCTACGAAGTTAAGCAACGTCGAGCCTCGTCAGTACTTAAATAGGTGACCACTTGGGAATACTAAGCTTGGATGTGTGAGTGTTGTAATGAATCTTAGCTCGGAATTGGTAATCAGAAAGTCAAATTCCATTTCCAGTTGGGTTCTTTATTTCGTATCTTGTCGAAATAACCGTGTAAAAGGTATGAATCTACCTCTTTTCCCCCCAGCTATGGGTTAATCAGTAAGAGTTATGTCGCTATATTATTATCATGTAAAAACAAAAAAAAATTCTTGCAAGCTAAAAATATTTTCTTGCTTAAAACAAACTGTAAATGGTTGATAAGCCGTAAAAATAAATCAATCAATCAAATAAAGGTACATATAGAAAAAAAAGAAGCACTTTTTTGTCGATTTTTAGATGATAATGATTTCGTGATATAACTATTAATAATTAACCCATAGCTGGGGGAGAATATTTGGATTTCGCATGTTAAGATGTCCGAATTTTTTACATTAAATTATATAAGATTACTGCAGAAAATGAGTCCCATTATTGATCCAAACACTAATGAAAGTTTATAAGAGAACCCGCTGAATTTATTAGATCTTTACTGCAAAACGATCGTAATAGAACTAGAGATCCTATCAGGATTTATTATTAGTGAGCACTATCTTAACAACATAAGATATACAGACGACAGCGTTGATGGTAGGCAAAGTAAGAAAACTGCCGGGACTCCGAGATAAGAAAATGTCTTCTCACTGGAATCATTATGGCAAAGTGAACTAGATTGATTTTAAAACTTTATTATCTGAAAATGAAATCTTCTAATCTCAAAAGATTTTCGGGCTTCTACAAAGGGGTTGATAAACCGTAAACAAATCGAATTAATCAGTCAATAAAAGAACAATTATCATAAAAATATTTATAGAAAAAGACAGTTTATTTAAACCCAGAAAATATGTTTAGATTCTCGGAATTTTTTGCAGATAATGATTTAATGATACAAGCCCTGGTAATTAACCCATAGCTGGAGGAGAAGAGATAGATGCACGCTTTTCCCAAGTGAATATAACGAATCCGACTGGAATTGGAAATCCGTCTCTCCGATTAACAATATCGAGCCAGTATCCATTACTCCACATGCACATCCAAGCTTACAGGTATTCCCAAGTGGTCACCCATCTAGTTACTGACCAGGTTCGATGTTGCTTAACTTCAGTGGTCGTACGTGAACAGGTGATTCAATATGATATATTTGTAATCCAAGTGAACTAAAAGTCATGGCAGGATTTATTATTGGTGAGCATAATCTTGCTAACATATGATACGCTGATTGATTGATTTGCTTTTTACGGTTTATCGACACCTTGCAAGTTATTTCTATAATACTTTGCAAAACGTATTCCTTGCTTCCCTGATAACTACAATCTTCGAAAATTTAAATTCAACGCCAATAGTGCTCTTCTGTCTTCTTGAACCCCGTTCTTCTTTTGTCCTTTCCTCACCCCCCCCCCAGTCTTTCATTTTCACTCCCTGCAAAACACTGCGTAGTAGTGGCATTACCGCCTTGCATGGGGTGAAATGATAAAAAAGTACATAATAATGCAGACTGCCTGAAATACCCGTCAGCTATATTTCGTCCGTTGTCAGCTATGTATTTAGAGATTCTTGATAAAATACAAAGAATCGGCAATATTATAGATCCACTTCTTACATCTCGGCTTTAGTCACTTACCCACCGCCCGTAACATACCTACACTGTCCTTTTCTATAAATATTTTTATGATAATTATTCTTTTATTGATTGATTAATTTGATTTGTTTACGGTTTATCAACCCCTTTACAGAAGCCAAAAAATCTTTTGCGATTATAAACTTTTTTCTTCACAGATAATAATGATTTACTGACACAAGTTTTACTAATTAACCCACAGCTGGGGGAGAAGAGGCGGATTCATACCTTTCCCTCGGATATTTGCGAGTAATCGAACATAGCGATCCCAACGGGAATTGGAACACAACTCACCGATTAACAATTCCGAACCCACACACCACACGCACATTGAAGCTTACAACACCAGGTATTTCCATACAGTCACCCATCTAAGTACTGACCAGTTTCGACACTGCTTAACTTCGGGCAGTGTACGGGAATCGGAGTTTTAACGTGATGTGTTTGTAAGCTGAAAATTGTTCTGATGTGATTTCGTCTTTCGTACCTAGACTTTATGAATTTAAGCGCAGTACTCGATTGACAGCTAGGTCTCATCGTTTTACGACGTAGGCGATTATGGCCCTCCATAGATGTTTTTTTTATCATGTGGAAATTACCATGGTTTTCTTTGATAATACTTTCATGGTAATTGTTATAATGAACTTTCATTTTATGGAATCTAGATTTATGAATTTAAGCGCAGTACTCGATTGGCGAAAGGGTCTCATCATTTTACAGTTGAAATAGCTAGACGTAAACGCAAGTTCTATGCTAAAAGTTTCTTCTATTGCAATTATCACCTGTCGAATTCTCTTCTGGCTTCTTACTTCCAAGTCAACTTGGATCTTCAAAAATTTAAATGCAATGTCAATCGTTATCTTCTGTCGTCTTAGTTTTTATTCTTTTATTGTCTTCTCTCCTTAACAGCATATCTTTCTTATATTCTCTAACACTCATTAACCTCTGGCGTCTTAGTGGCTTTATTGCCTTCCTGGTGGGGGTGGTGATTAAAAAATGTGCAGCTGAAGATTCGAGCGACGATTTACGGACATCAGAATCAAGGAAATACAGAAATTTGTCTATGATGTGTTATAAGAAACGACGGAATATGTGATATCCAAATCCGATGGATCTTTGGAATAGCGGAAGATGCTTTCCAAAAATTAAACAAAGTATTAAGAAACAGGAAAATCTCCTTGGAAACAGAGATGAGAGTTCTCAACATATATGAAATATCAAATATCAATATTGAGTGAATATTGGACAATTTCTTCTCCGATGAAGAGGAAAGATGAGGCGACATGGTTTCTTTGGAAATATTTTCATGTTAATTGTTCTGATGAATATACCTCTATGGTGCATAGATTTTATGAATGTAAGCGCATTACTGGATCTTATCGTTTTACAGTTCAAATAGCTAGATGTACCGTAAGTTCTATGCCAATAGTTTCCTCTCTCGCACTTCTCGCTTGTGGAACTATTTCGGCCTCTTGCTTTCCAGATTCCAATGCAATGTCAATCGTTATCTTCTGTCTTCTTGTTCTTTTATTGTTCTCTCTGCTTAAATGATTTTTCTTTTTCCCATATTCTTTCACAATTGGTAACCCGTTGAGGCTGTATAAACATTTTGTAAGATTAGAAACAATGCAAAACTCACATTAAAACTATCTGAAGCTGGTTAACACAAAGCGTTTAATAGCTTTAAGTTGCCAACTACGACTTCTCACTTAGCGACTAAGTTGTTTAAAAACCATGTCATGGCACTTTAATCCAATTGGCTCATTCGCTTGCTTAAACTGGGTGTGAAAAAGTATTTGTTGTTAACATTCTTTTTTCATTCGCTTTTTCCAGTTACGAGTCCTTTTTTAAAGCTGATCGTTTTGTGTTCATTTTGTTTAGTTCTTTATTCGTAACAGATTTAATGTTTAGTATAGAGATTAGAAAAAATTCGCAATGTGAGGCAAGAAGTAAGGCATGTAGCAACATCAGCACGGCAAAGGACACTCCTTTCATGTTTCTACGGCAGTTTTCATGTAGTTTGCGGCCATTTTCTACAGAGTGTGAGCCAATAGCTGGCTGCCACGAATAGGCAGGAAGATTCTATTGGCCAGCGTGAGATCCAACAGCTGACTGACACGAATGTTAATGTTAACTAGCATGCAAAAAAAAAATCGATAGCTGCATTCGTCACAAGTGGGAAAAATTTAAATCTGCATGGCACTTTACTCCAATTGGCTCATTCGCTTGCTTAAACTCAATGTTGATTCTGATTCCGCAGAACTGGGTTGGGTGTGAAAAAGTATTTGTTGTTAACATTCTTTTTTCATTCGGTTTTTCCAGTTACGAGTCTTTTTTAAAGCTGATCGTTTTGTGTTCATTTTTAGTTCTTTTTTCGTAACAGATTTAATGTTTAGTATAGAGCTTAGAAAAAATTCGCAGTGTGAGATAGGCTAGAAGTAAGGTATGTAGCAACATCAGCACGGCAAAGGGTACTCCTTTAAAGGCAAGGAAGGGCAAAAATATTTTAAGTCAAGTGATAGCGATTGCTGTATGAGTCGTACGACTTTTGAATCAAGCACGGGCAACGCAGGGCAATGCTGCTAGTTTATATATGCAATTATTTATGTGCGTTGTTGTCGCTATGTTTCATTAAGGATGTAGATATGTTTATTGTGTATATAGATGCGGCTCCAATGTTCCTATGTTTCAGGGTCGTAGGTGGAGTCAGCTGTTGAGTTCGTCCGGCGATCTTCCAATATATGCACTGGCTGACACGACTGTGCCAATTACTTTTAATTAAACGGCTCGAGGTTTTGTTGTTTGCTGTTATTATTACATACGGTCCTGAGTACCGAAAACAAAATTGGTCTCTGATCGGCGAAATTAAACGATTATTTGAGTAGAGTGAAGGATTTCGTTGACGGGAGCGGAAAGGTAGTGGGGAAGTAAGCCTTTTGGCTGGGATCTGAAAGGGTGGGGAAGTACGTCAATATCATATGCACGTCTAGCTCCATCCCTAACAAATACTCCCCTGTACAGAAACTCACATACCATAAAGCACTTAGGAATACTCTGAGCTACTTAAAGACAAGAGTCCATAAACACCTATATATTAAATAAAAGAAATCTTTTGGAAATACCAGTTAGAAATTCAGTTGGTAAAGTTATGGTATATACCACTGTGTAGTTTCTCTTAGGTAAAGCGTGCAAAGTGCACGCACGAAATGAAAATTTTTTTTTTAATTTCGCGCATGCGCGTTGTTTGTTTTTGGTTTTGTCGTCTGCAAAGTATACTAGGGTCAATTAGGTACCGTCTGCGAGACAAAAAAAAGCACCATGACGCAATTCATTCCAATAAAAGTCTGAAAACTGCATGAGTTACTGCTTGGCATTCGCACCGGAAGCTCCAATACGAACATTTCAGTATGTTTTGGTATCAACCTGAGCACAGTGCAGAGGATTCGGGGGTGGGGGAGGTGGATGAGTCTAATGGTGATTACGAAGGTACGGCAGTTCGGAAAACTCACTCTGATCGTTCTGATGAGAAAAGAATTTCCGAATTTGTTGGTGAGGGTCTCAGACTCAACGCGAAGGACTACATCAAGTCCCTTGGGGAGGTAGTGCTGCCCTAGGTCAAGAGGGTGGCTGCTGGAATGGCGTAAAACAGAAGTACGAACAAAATGGTAGACCTATGATTGTGCAAGGTAGATTCTGGCTAGGAAACTTGTCTACGACGACATAGGGAACAGACGTTCTTAGCAGGTGACTTAGCAACTGGTTCAGTTTAAACCCGCCCACCAAAACTTGCCACCCGAGACGGATCACCCTCAACTCTGCGCCCATCTGGGTCCGCCAATGCGAGGAAACGAAATAGTTGTTATTTAAACATAAGAACTTATGCATTAAACAATGCGTTTATCATCAATAAAAACTTCGACTGGACGGTAATCATGATTTTTTACGGTTTATCAACCTTTTGCGTCAAGTACGACACAAAATCTGTTTGAACTGTTCATCAACCTTGATACGTTGGGGAAGGATATTAGAATAATCAACAACCTGTTAGGGCAGCAAACCACCAACATAAAGATCTAAAATGAATTCACCAGATACAGTGTAACCCGGATATAAGAGACCCGGATATAAGAGAAACCCGGATATAAGAGAGATTTTCTCTGGTCCCAAATTAGAGTCCATACTTACCTAAACAAAATAGACCAAACCCGGATATAAGAGAAACCCGGTTATAAGAGACTTCTACTCCGGTCCAGACAACTCTCTTATATCCGGGTTACACTGTATACAGAATTAGAAAGACAAGGATGTGACTTCTCACCGGACTTATTCAACCTATACAGCGTGGATTAGAGAAATAGAGTCCCTACAAGGAACCACTGTTAGCGGACACAATCTTAACTACATTAGATATGTAGATGACACAGCGCTGATAACAGACATGGAAAGAAAACTACAAAAAATCCTAGGCAGTGGCGGGGGGACGAGAAGAAAGGACTAAGCATAGTCTGTCTAT